TAAAGTAGGATTGACTTGAGTTAGGCTGTTCTCATAAGCAAAGTTTCCAGAAAGTGACAGTGTTCACTGTGCCAGTGATGCATTCCTAATTTGTTATTGATATCAGCCACAGTAGGCATTTTATTGACAGCTTTATTATTTTTGTGTTTGAAACTATAAAATCCTTTTTAAAAAAAAGTAGGAAGGACAACAGAAGGGGAGGAAGGTTCATCTTCCTAGTGACAAAATACTGAACTTTGAGAACAGAGAGAAAATGCAATATCCTTTCAATAGAAGCACTTTCTTATTTCCCTGGAACAAGGGGAGTAACCCGCACCATTCACCATTTAAATATAAGGAGAGATGGGGGAGGGGAGAGACAGAGCACGGGAGCCTGGAAAAGCCTTCAGAAGTACATACACATTTGCTCAATTTTGGCTGCTGGGGTTTCATTATGCAGTGTAATTTGGAGGGGGTTTGGCAGGGCTCAGAAAGGAGGAGAAAGAATATGGGCCGCTAAGCTTGGAGAAATATGCTGGGGCTTTAAGAGGCGATGGAAGTAAAAAAGGGGGACAGACAGTACAGCAGAGGGTGTGAGCATGAGGAGGAAGTGATTCACAAGCTGCTGCTGCTGCTTTCAGCTCAGCCACAAAGACCTGAACCTCTGGAGGCTTCAGTTGGAGGCAACCCCAAGGTCCTAATGCCTGCCTAGTTCCAGTGCGTCTTCCCCCACACACATACACAGCTGGCAGCAGCTGTTGATTTCTGATGAGTGTGATCTAGCAGCCACAGGCATCTACTGCCCAAATGGCAGAGACGTAGCAAAACTGCCAAACAACAGAACAATATCTGGAAATCTGCAAAACGTTGAGAATGAACAGTAAGATACAAACCTCCTTGGAAGGGTATGCTTAGCCAGGAATTGGTTGATTGGAATATAAGGAACTGTCTTATGCTGAGTCACGCCCATACCCCACTTAGCCTGTAGAATCATAGAATCATAGAGTTGGAAGGCACCTCCAGGGTCATCTAGTCCAACCCCCTGCACAATGCAGGAAATTCACAAATACCTCCCCCTCCATACCCACAGTGACCACTGTTCCACGCCCAGAAGATAAGAAGGAACCTCCAGGATCTCCAGCCAAACTGGCCTCCTTCTCATGATCTCCCCAAGTTCACAGAATCAACATTGCTGTCAGATGGCCAACTAGCCTCTGTTTGAAAACCTCCAAAGGAGAGCACTGTCATTCCTTACTGAAGGCAGGTCTCAGAGGCGCATTAAGGTTCTGGTCCAAAGTCTTTTTAGCCTTACACTTTGAAATCTTTTAAACTGGCGTAGCACGAGCTGTTTCAGTGTAGCACCAAAGTTCATGGGGTATATTGTACCTCTAAACCCAGGTGACTTAGCACCAGCATCAACCCAGAGCCTGCACAAAGCACACCTTTTTGCAGAGTACATCACACTACAGCTAACTTACAATCACACGTCTCACATTTGGACACCGGTCAGTTAAAACAACCTAAGAATTTGCAAAAAAAAAAAAAAAGGCTTTAACTGGATATTCTAGGGATCAAACTAAGGCCTCCTATAGAGAGAATGAACACTGCCCTTGAGCTGTAGCTCCTCCTCAAGGTGATCCACGTGACACCAGCACTGCATGAATGTGCATAACTATAGGGGATAAGCTGTTCAGCACAAAGTAGATAGCACAGAAACGCCACAATCGCTACCCCTCACACATGTTTTCCAAAAATATATTTGGAGGTTACAATGCAATGACTTTCTCTCTCCACGCACACTGGCTTTGAGCTCTCCTTTCCATGAGCTGGACAGTCCTTCACTTATATAAGAAGTTTTAGGTTTAACCACACTTGAGTGTGCCGCATAGCCTAGTCTAAGAAAAATTCATAAAATGCATCTGTGAGCACTATGGGGATCCACTAGAAACGAACATAAGCAGCTGCATCGTACTGAGTCAGCCTATGGGTCCATTCAGCCCAGCACTGCCTAACCCTCAATGCCTCTCTGAAGTTTCAGGCAGAGGTCTTTCCCTAGTAGGGATTTCTGACCTAATAGGGCTATTTTTACATTGATGCTGGGAAAAGACTGCCAGCCCGGATTAGACAAACAACCCAAACCAGCCCCCCTCTTAGTTACAGTGTCCAGGACTACATGCTTTGAAAGGGTCAATTTAGAGTAACCCCTTCATTCTCCATAACTTACTCTTAACTTTTGACTGTCAGAGGTTTAAGGACAACCTGAGCATGAGTTTCCTGATCTCTGGAAGTCTTGCCAAGTGTTAATTATTGGGGGAGCCAATTTCACATGTGTCACTTTAAGCACTTCTTCCATCCGTTAGTCTGTTCTGTATGAAAGACACAAGTGCACTTTGTATTAGGGCTTTAAAATTGATTGACAGCAATGCAGCAAGGCTGATCTGTAATCACATTTCAACCTGCCTCCAATATTTATGTCACCTATGAACGTGTTCCATCTGAAGTGCATTTTTAGCCCTCCACTTGCCATTTCTACATAGAACTATGTACATTTGGGAATAGCTTTTTATTCTCTCAGAGCTCTCCTCTCTGAATAAAAGTGTTTCTTTGGTCATGATCAACAGTCACTATAGCTTTAAGAAAAAGTGCCTCCCTATCAATAGATTTCATTACAGTAACTGTGGTTTGCAGAGCCCTTGGGAAAGGGAAAGGATGGGGGGGGGGGAGAACCTCCTTTAAGTTTAGCAAATAGAAAAAGATAGCATGGCATTAGCAAGAGAAGCCACCGTGCTTCCCAGGCACTGGTTTGGGCTTTTCAAGACTATCCCTCAGACTCCCCTAAATAACAAAGTTTGAGTCCAGTGGCACCTTTAAGACCAACAGTTTAATTCAAGGTAAAAGCTTTAGTGTGCAAGCGTACTTCTTCAGATACAGATAACAGAATCTTTTCAGCCATTACATATGGATGTGTGGGTGCGTTCAGACGGGGCATTTATGCCGGTATAGATGTGGGTTGGAATCGGTGTATTTACGGGTGATCACACGGCGAACATCTGCCTTCCGTCCCTAACCATTGCGAACAGCTTTAAACCGCTGTATCTGCTACTAGGTCCCCAAGTGGTAGTATCCTGAGTGCACTGGTTCCAACCGCATTATCCCCATCTGATCGCTCTCCGCCGGTGTCTAGCCACTTCCGTTCAGAAGCTCGAGGCTTCCGCTTTCCGTCCACCATTTTTTAAAAGTCTCCTCGATGTGCACTTGGGCGAAGCTTCACCCCGGCATTTGTAAAACAACAACAAAAAAAAAGGGCCTAGTGTAAGGCTTTAGATGAGTCCGGGACCTCACGGAGGCCAGTTTCAGAGTAAAAATTTAAAGGGACATCTTCGTTTCAAGGCATGCTTTCCGGGTTGGGTTGTTCTGCGCCTGTGCAAAGATATTCATTATAAGGAAGCCTGCCTATGCGCAAACTATGTAAAAACAAACAAACCCCGCCGACACGCTCTGCTCAGCGCCTGAAGTGTGGACGGGCATATCGCGATGTGCTGCGCAGTCAGGAGGTAAATGTGATCGCGTTTCTTCCGGATCAAACTGCTCCGGTTCCAACTGGAGCAGTTTATGCCAGCTAAAATGCCCCGTCTGAACGCACCCAGTGTGTGTCAAGAAGGACCAGTTAGGGTCAAGATGCATAAGAACTGGGTGATTATACTTGAAATTGGATTAAGGCAAGAGTAGCATACAAATACAAACATTAACATGTAGATGTGAGAATGACCTTAGATATGAGAATATACACGTAGATGTGAGAATATATTTCCCCTAAATGAAATATATGTTTAAAAATATATAACCAAGTACTCTGTTTTTCTTTAATGCCCATAGTCATGTAACATATTTATTTTTGTTTAAAAATTTATACCCCACTTCCTCCTAAGTGCTCAAACTGGCTTACAGAAATAAAAATACAATAACATAAAATCACGATACAATTTTCTATTTAAAACACCCTAGAGACATTCATTCAACAATCAGTCATACAGAACATTTCTGAATCCCCTTCAAACAGCCACCCCCAGATACCCCCCCCCAAATCACAAAGAACAGATGCCACACAATGCAATCCTAAACAGTTACACCCCTTTTAGCATACTGACTTCAATTGACTTAGAAGGGTGTAACTCTGCTTAGAACCGCACTGATAGTTTGAGATTCTTTGCCCTTCTCCTTCCTGCTTCCTTCCACGCCCGAATCCTGAAGTGCTCTAAGGTTTTTGTCTCTTGAAAAGACCATCTGCACACCAGGGCTAATTTTTAAAAAAATCCTGACAAAATTGCTTCGCTCCACACTGGTCCTGCACGGTTTAGCAGTACCAGTAACATGTTTTTCTATCTAGTACATTTTTACCATGCCCTTTCTGCGAGGAGCTCAGGGAGGCCCACAGGGTTCTCCTCATTTTGTCCTCACTGTGGGGGTAGGTTAGGCAGAGTGAGAGTAATTAGCCCAAGGTCACCCACAGAGCTTCACCGTTAACAGGGCACTGGAGGCCAGCAACTTGGACCTGCAGGTTGGGAGAGTGCCTTCTCCCACACTGGCTGGAAGGGAGTTGTGGTGACAGTTAAGACAGGAAAAGCGTAACCTGTGACAGTGGACATTAACAAGACCCTCAGGCGATAATTAAAACACTTTAAAATGCACGTACTATTTGGAGCTTGGATACAGGAAACCTGGGGACAAGTCCTGCCTCAGCCTCATTATGCAGACTTTAGTAAGTCATCTTTCTCAGCCTTAGTTCTCCCTTTTCTAAAATGAAAATAGTAATAAGAGTCAGTGACTTCACCAAGCTGTTGCAAGGGCAAATCCAAAGAAGAAAGCAGAGTTAGGCTACTTTCACTCATGGATGTTGAGTTACTGTTGGCACTGCAACCCGATTGTCTTGTTCCACACAGAAAAATCCATTTGCAAATGGTTGCTATACCCAAAAATGTGTTTGTGCAGCCCAAAAGTAGTAAGGGGGTAAACCCACAGGAGGGGCAGTGGCTCAATGGCAGAGTGTCTGCTTCACATGCAGATGGTCCAAGGTTCAATCCCTGGCCTCTCCAACTTAGTTTGAGCCAGTTTGGTGTAGTGGTTAAGTGCGCAGACTCTAATCTGGGAGAACCGGGTTTGATTACCCACTCCTCCACTTCCGCCTGGCTGGATGACCCTGGGCAAGCCGTAGTACTGATAAGAGCTGTTCTTGAAAAAGAGCAGTTTCTGTCAAGAGCTCTCTCAGCCCCACCTCCCTCACAGGGTGTCTGTTGTGGGGAGGGGAAGGGAAAGGATTTTGTAAGCCGCTCTGAGACACCCTTCGGGTAGTGAAGGGCGGGGTATAAATCCAATCTCTTCTCGTCTCTTCTTCTTCTTAGTGTCAGGAAGTAGATGATGTGAAATACCTCTATGTAAAGTCCCAGTGAGCAGTACCTGTCAAAGTCAACAATACTGACCATGACAGATCAAGGGTCTGACTCAGTACAAGGCAGTTTCACCTGTCAGCTTGCTACTGTGAGAGCCGCTGTGATGTAGTGCTTGGAGGCTTGAACTACGATCTGGGAGATCCAGGGTTGATTCCTCACTCTGCCATGGAAGTTTGCTGGGTGTCCTTGGGCCAGTCACACGCTCTCAGCCAAACCCACCTCACAGAGTAGTTGTGAAGATAAAATGGAGGAGAGGAGAATGATGTAAGCGGCTTTGGGTCCCCATTGAGGAGGAGGGTAGGTTACAAAGGAAGTAACTACATAACTAAATAAATAACCATGTATGCCAAAAAAACATACTAAAAATCTTTCAAATATCTGTTCTCAGAATGCACCACTTTGTCCTCATTCTCAGTTGAAACTGATGACCTCCCCCCACCCAGAAGAGCACACTAAATATATAAATAAAAACTAGCCAGTGCAAATTTGTGCATGATAAATTAGTCTGCTTATATGAAGATATAAAATTACCCATCACCTAGCAATGAGGCTAATTTAGTGGTTCTTTTTTACACATAGATAGAAGGCAAAATGCCCTATCTAAGTGATTCAATATCTGCAACATACACTCTTCAATTGTAAGCCATTCATATTTGCATGGGGCCTTGGGAGGGATGCTGTTGTGCTGTTGGGGGTGGGGGATTGCCCTTTTTTGGGGCTCTTGCCTGCCACCAACCACCTGACCAGCAGGAGGAACCTCCCCCCAAAAGTGACATCACTGGAAATAAACGTGACATGCCTTCATCACCCATAAGTGACCAAGGCACGTTAGTGATGTTGGGGGGTGATGCTCTGGGTCTTGGCCAAAACTCTAAGGTTTGAGGCTGATTTTACCATAGAGTTCTGCCCAAAAAACCACAGTGTTGCCCCCCCCCCCAACGTCACCAACGTGCCTATGTCACTTCCCATTCCCAGAACATCCCCCTCATCTCCCTGCTGGCATTTCAGATGGACCAGGCAACCATAGTCCTTGGAAACTGTAGTTCTTTTAAGCAAGTACCTTCTCCAAGACAAATTCAGGTGGGTAGCCATGTTGGTTTGAAGCAGCAGAACAAAGTTTGAGTCTAGTGACAGCTTTAAGAGCAACAGTTTTATTGAAGGTATAAGTTTTCATGTGCAATTACACTTCTCCGGTAACTTGCACACTTCTACGGTATCTTGCACACAAAAGCTTATACCTTGAATAAAACTTTGTTGGTCTAGGTGCCACTAGACTCGAACTTTGTTTTTCTAAGACAAAATTACAGTTCTCAGAGTTCACGAGGAAGAAGGCATGATAGTTAAACTATTTTCAATCAGGATTTAATTAGCAACACAAACATACCTCCATCTAAATAAGATGAGTTTTAATTACATTATCCCTCACAGCACACACCAGATCAAGTCCCAGTTTAATTGCATCCCTTTCCCCTCCCCCAGTTGCCTTTCCAGTTTTAATCCAGGTATGGTGAAAAGTTTGGTCACAATTTTACTAATAGGAAAAAGAAAAACTGTGAGGTTTTTTTTTTCCAAATTTGCAAAAAAAAAAATCATGCACACTGTATACAAAATTCAAAACTGAATACATAAATGTTCATATTTATGTGCCCTGACTCAGCACTGCATACATTGCAAAACTGTGAAGCACTTACCGACTGCAAATAGCAGCAACGCCTGGCCCCCCAGACCATTCTTTGGAGACCAGTGTGGCCCCTGCGATCACAAGACTTGAAATTGGCCATCTCCTGGGTGACATGATCTCAGTGGTCCTATCTGACTAAGAATCTATCAGTCAAACTTTTAGTTATGTAAGTTTATGCCAACAAAAAAAATAAAATAAACATGAATCACAGCTCCCACGCCAGGATGAAAGTTGCCTTGCTAAATCACTCCCTAAAATGACACTCTGATGAGTCACACCCAGACGGACAACGACCTACAATCTTGCACAAGTCTCTGACTGTTTGTGGGAGAGAGAGAAAGTAGTGAGCAAGCTGTCCTCATTAGAGATTTTGGCCTGCGGAAGAAACGGCTAGTGACATCATAGGTTCTCGCAAGATGCCTCAGTGGTGACGCCATCAGGGTGTGGTGTGGTTGATACCGTGACATTCCAGGATTCTGGTTTCTCATTTCAGTCCTACCTACCACTGGGGACAACAGATCTCACTCAAAGGCTAGACCTCTAAGCTATTGTTGCAAAACAGTATAACGACAGCCCAAAATTGATAGTATTCCTCATCCCAAGCTGAGAATGAATATTTCCATAACAACACATCCATTTACAGAGTTTTGCTCTCTAAGCTAAGCCCAATGCAAAAAAAAATCAGGATTTTTTGTACCTAGTGTTTCAAACATCATAAGAACGTAAGAAGAGCCCTGTTGGATCAGACCGGTGGTCTATCTAGTCCAGCACAGTGTCTCACACAGGGGTCACACAGTTATTCTGGAGGGCCATCAACAGGGATAGAGGCCAAGGTTTTCCCCTGGTGTTGCTTCCTGGCATTGGTATTCAGAAGCTTACTGCCTCTGAATGTGGAGGTTCCCTTTAGTCACCATGGCTAGTAGCCAATAGTCCTATACTCCATCAATCTGTCTAATCCCCTTTCAAAGCCATCTATACCTGTGGCCATCACTACATCCTCTAGCAGTGAAATCCACATTTCAATCACCCACTGTGTAAAAAAGTATTTCTTTTTGTCTGTCCCGAACCTACTGTCCATCAACATCAGATTCTCTTGAATTCTAGATCTGGGGAGAGGGAGAAAAAGTTCTCTCTGACCACTATCTCTACCCTGCACATTATTTTATAAACCTCTATCCCGCCTTGGTCATCTCTTTTCTAAACTGCAAAGTCCCAGACTCTTCAGCTTTTCCTCATAGGGAAGGTGCTCCAACCCCATAATCATCTTGGTTGCCCTCTCCTGTACTTTTTCCAGCTCTGCAATAGCCTTTCAGAGATTCAGTGACCAGGACTACACACAGTATTCCAAATGTGGCCGCACTATAGATCTATAGAGGCATTATAAGATTGGCTGTTTTATTTTCAGTCCCTTTCCTAATAACCCCCAGTATACAGTTTGCCTTTTTCACTGCTGGGTTGACACCTTCGCTGAGCTACCTACTGTGACCAAAAGGAGTCTTTCCCTCTTAGTAAATTCCGACTCTATTAGCATATGTTTGAAGTTGTTTTTTTGTTCCAATGTGCATCAGTTTCATTAAAGAAAGCATGGACATATCCAGTCTTGAACCCTGTTATGTATGCGGACTGCCACCAGGGAGCTTGGTCCCCAAACACAAAGGGGACCTAGGATCCTAGTCCACCTCGAGTCCACCAATAGCACCCTTGGTGGGAAATTCAAACCCTCCTATGGGGACATAGGTGTGCCGGGTGGAGTGTATATAGTTGGCCTTGCAGGGCCGTTTTCCTTGTCTTGTTGTGAAGTACAATAAATGCGTCTGTATGCATGTCGTAGTCCGAGTCCTCCATGCGTCAAACCCAGTACTTTTCAAACCCAATATCTTTGAGCTGGGAATTCATATGGTCTGCAGCAGACAGTGAGGGCCAACTTTAGTAAAGATCTAGATCCTGCTGTCCTTAATTACCAGATCCCTTTCTGGACACCTGGTTAGCTAGCATACACTTCTATCCTATCATGTACTCCAGACTGTAAACATACCATTGTCCCTGCTGCTTTGACCCAACTCTTGCTTAAGAAGAGCTTTGCAGGATCAGTCTCATCTAATCCAGCTTCCATTCTCTAACACTGGCCAGTCTAATGCTTCTGAGAACCAAACAAGTAGGTCACAGTAGATGTACTGTTTGTTTGCCCCCAGCACCTGGAAGTCTGAGGTCCACTGATGCAGGACTCGGAGACTCCATTTTGAGTTTATGACAGCTACATGACCTATTTGGGCCATACTTTTATAAGCTTGTGTTTCAAGCCGTCTATACTAACAGCCATCAAAACTTGCAATAATAATAAACTCCATTAATTACATGGTGGGTGCAGAAGTACTCCCTTTTATCCTGAATCTACTATCACTCACTTTCCCTCTGCAACATTTGTTATTTGGTTAACGTCTGCCACATTTCCCAAAAAAACCCTCTTTAAACCGAAGCTGTCCACTTGGCATCAAACCTTGGCATGACTTAAGACCCAGAGTATAGACCAGTCCTCCCAATGAAGAGTTCTAGAATGACAAGTTACAGGCTTTGGCCTATGGACTGTTCTAACCAACCCTTCTTCTAAAGTCCTTTAGCTTTTGTTCAGGATGCCTCAAGTCTGCTGGGATGTGCCATCCCAGGATACTCCTGTGATAGAGTGGAATCTTTAACCAGTCACAAGTATTACCTGAGCACTGGGGACATATTACAGTAAAGCTTCCCAAATCACTTTCTAGGCATCCTGTATCTAAAGCAGCAGCACCTCCGTTTCTACAGGATAGCTCTGTGGAGTTCATATACACTGATTACATCCTAATGGAGTGACCCAGCACCACTACACAGGAAAGAACTAAGAATATTTTACCTATACACAGCCCCGTAAGCAGGAATTCTTTCATGGGGGGTGCCAGGGACACTAATTAAATTAGTTAGAGGCAGGCAG